TTAGTGGGTAACTTAACTTAACTTTTTAGTGGGTAAAAAATTCAATTCCCGAGAGGCAGTACAAAATGCCTTTGAAGAGTTTGTTGCCTCCCGTCCAGCTGATTTTTACAAGAAGGGCATCAATAAACTGCCAATGCGTTGGCAAAGATGCGTCGATTGCATGGGTGATTACTTCGAATAACAGAAATAAAAAAGTTTGAAAAAATAAGTACTTTCACTTATTGCATACAAAACGGCAATTTCATAGGTAAAGACCTATTATTAGCCGCTTACAATATACTTACAATATTGAAGCATTTTTTTTTTTAATATTTAAACTACTAGAATTTGAGTATATGAATTCTGTATAGAGAATGTTTACATTTTTTAAACCAATGCCCTAAAAGTGTATTAGTGATAATTATATAATATTCTGTTGTCTATGAGTGCAGAAATTTTCTACATAAATTAAAAACCAACATTTTTTTAAGAAAACTTTTTGTTCTTTTTTTTTATAGAATGCATATTTTGTATAAATATTGTTGTTAGGAAGACTTTATTATAATAAATTTTATATTTACAATCATTTATATTGTGAGAAAGTTTTGTAATTTCGAAGAAACTGTTGTATGGAATTATAACAATATCAATTAATACATTTATTAACGGTATACTATTATTATTAATAAATATAACACGCTTTTAGATTTTTATATTACTGTTTTTTTATTATGTATTTACAATTTAAACAAAAATAACACAATATAATAGGTAACATTTATATTTTCTTTCATACATATATATATTAAAGTTTCATTTCTCATAGTGCGTATATTTACAGGTCACATGTAAGTATTCCTTAAATATATACAAATAATACATTCACTAGTTGTCTTTCACCATGACCCAAATATATACATAATAAAACACTGGATGAGAACTAGATTATACCATAATATTAACGTTTCACAAGCAAAGATATTAGTACTAAGAATTTTATTTTGAACTGTACTCTGCCACGATTTGTTGTATCACGTCGTGGTTGCGTTGATGTGAAATGAGGAATAAAACTAACCCGAAAAATAAACGTAAACCATCTTTAAAACGGGATGTACGTTGTGTCAAATTTAGAACTGAAGCAGTGCAGAACTTCTAGGTTTTTAAAGAGTATGAAAACCGACTTAACATTTTACATTTAGAGATCGTTTTTTATTTACTTTTCTTACGACTACGAGGAGCCTAAACCAATTGAATTGTAATTTTTCACCTTTCACTTCACTTTCCACCTTCAGCGGTGGTATTAAAATTTTAATTTACATGGCAGAGACCGGAGGATAGAATACCTCTCAATAAAAGCCGGAGTTATTAGGTAACAAACATAAAAAAATGCAACCGATTACAGAATCTTTTTTTTTTGTAGTCGGTTTAAAATATTGAATTGTTTACCTTCTTTCATATTTCACTGACTTCATATATATTCTTACATTATCGACTTAAAAATTGAGACGTGGTACAAATAATACCAGTTTTTATTATAGATTAACTTTTAAAAGATATAAAGGAATAAATAAATCTAACTCTCATCCCTATTTAACATATTTAGGTATGTCCTACAATTAAATTTTAAAGCGTTTTCCTGAGCACTACTTGCAAACAAAGTGTACCCGTATTAATATTTGTTCAAGTTGAGATTGTTCTTCTTGGAAGAACATGATTTAATTATTGCTGCAAATTAATAACTATTTAACAGATTACCATTGAATTATTACAAAAACACTATTATGTAAATCGCATATCCGTTATTTTTTTCTCACAGAATTCGTATAATTTTCTTTATTAATGATTTACGTTTGGCACTAAGCATCAAAAAGTTGCAAACTAGAGTGTGAAAGTTGTCAAACCATCTGGCAAATAGTTTATAATATGAAAATTACATAATAGTATCTTTGTAAGATTGTTATAAATTTAATAGTTATTTCCTTTTCTTTTAAATAAACATTATTTTTAATAAGGATTACAATATATTATGCAAAAAAAGGTTTATTACACATCTAAAGGTTTATCTTCACCGTCTTCGAAACTATTGCAATAAATATGTTTAAGAGAAAAGTTAAATGAACCTTAAAATTCAATTATTCAACCATAAAACACAGTGTCGTAAATTGGAAATTTAAAACTTAACTTATTTCTGAAGATGGAACTTTTAGCTTCGGTAGTAAAACTTTATTCTCTGTTCAAGACCCACCACAGCTAGGCGGGTTGAAACGGAATGTCATGAGTACATTTCGATTTATTCAATTTTCTAGATACTTATAAGATGTAGGTTATTGTCAGCAACACAAAAACCTTTGAATGTAGAACTAGTCACTGTGTAACGTGTTTTATTTAAATAACATTGTACTTTGAGAAATTTTGTACAGTGTTACCATCATTAAATTAGATTTAAAAAATTTAAAGAAAAAGAAGATTTAAAGAAAGAAGAAGAGAAAAAGAAGAAAAGAAAATAAAAAATAAAAGAAAGAAGAGGAAAATTTAGAATGAAAAAAAAACTTGTTTATTCTGTTACGGAAATTGTGCGCGGGCACTATGACTTTCAAATTTTAACTCAATAAATAAATAAATGTTCACCTAAATAAAGCTTCATTAATATATAGATTTAATTAATTTAGAAATGTCCATTAGATAATCCTGAGTAGTTTTGTTTACACTAAATTTACTGAAGTAATTTAAAATAAAGAATGAAACAGTCTTTAAAATTCTTTCTAAAAACATAACATATAGGTATTTTACATTATTTATATAATTTAATTAATTTAGTATTGATTTACAGGTTCATACCACTTATTATGAAATGGTTTTAAATTTACGATTACCGCAAACGACATAAACCTCTTATATAATACAATAAATGCATTTAAAATTTAACTAACGTACATTTTATTTTCATTAAATTGAGGTGATTTAAACAAAGCATTCATAACCTTCATACTACATTAAAAAAATACAGTAACATTCATATACACTGAAGTATTGATATGCATCTTCGAAACTATTATTAAAACAACATATAGATACAAATACTAAGAATCACAGTAAGGACTAGCTTTAACTAGAAAACTAATGTATATATAATATATAACGAATGTACCAAAGGTTTACTTCAGCAAACAGGTTCTTTAATAATTAACTTTAAAAAAATACAACTGATTTCAGTCAACCTACTTCATAACAATATATTGTAAAAAACTTCTTAAAGTTGTTTTAATATGAAAATATAATATTAATGTTGTTTATATTTAACTTTAGCTAGTTATTTTAAGCGATGATTTTCTTATTTAAATTTAAATGGGATCTAACGGGAAATGTACCCTTTTGAATTAAAGATGAATTTTCCAAATTGTATTATAAATGACAGAACTCTGAGGTAACAAATAAAAAAAAACCGCCGTATTGAGAACTTATTGCTTTTCTTGAAGTCTAATAAAAACAAGAAGAGACAAAGTATTCCCTTAGCACCTGCAGAAGAAAATAAGCAAGTAAAACATCTCAAAATTTTGCGAGCTCAATTGGGATGCACACTTGATAGCTTTTATCTGCAAAGGGACATAAAAGTGACTTCGAATTGTACCAGAAATTTCCTATAGTGCTCTAGAGAGCTCTTCGTAGCTTCTCAAAATAATGGCCTTGGTTTGGCAAGTTGTAAGCAAATAATGTATGTGCATAAGTCCCGCCAGTGCATTTAAATGCTTTTGATTGTAAGTTGTCATATCATAAAAACTTATACCTGAAGATGTTCGGTTTACAATGCTTCTCTTTAGTATATTTAGAATGAAAATGGTTTCAAATTAAAAAACGGTTTCAGGGCAATAGTTATAACCAGGACTTAACCACCGGTGGATGATATCCAAGGGGGATTCCGCACAAAAAAAAAGAAAGGTCAGTAGTTGACGTTTTCTCCAATTATTGGGGTCTCTAGTATATTTATCATAATTAGTATGAAGATCGTGATTAGGGAAATTAGGTTAGCCATTCCTGCCTGAAAAATTAATTTATCCTACATTTATGTACGTTTAAATACGGTCACTACATTTCACATAGAAATCATTTGGTCCCGCTATGTTTGTTGCTTTAAACAAACAAGGCGGGACCACAAGCTGTGTTAAACAATTAAAAAGGACTCAAAAGTAATCGGTATGTGTAACAAGGGCTTCGTTAGCGTACTTTTAGAAACTAGGTCACTATGACAGATTTTTGTCAGTTTCTATCCTTTTTAGAGATACCTATTTATTAAGTGCAATATTGATGTTAGTGAATTTAAGAATATTCCGTTTCATGCTATAGATTTATGTATTTATATTATTTGAAATAGGTAGTGCTATTTCACCACGCTAACGTAACAGTTAGCCAATTAGTTCGCCAATCTGTGCGTTGGCATTTCCATCAAGCCTTTGACTATTGATTTTTGACATACCTGGCATCTCAGAATATAAGCTGAATATGTGTTTCGAAGTTTTTAGAATTCGAAGTCTGTGATTTTGATTTTGTAGTATTGATAAAGTTCATATTTTTTTAATTAGATGCTTTATTTAAATAATGGTGGAGAGTTATTTGAAAAAAAATCTATATTAAAATAGATCTATGGACCCTATTATGGTTCCACAAAATGTATCGAGTGCTCCACGTATATGTTGCAATTTCACCTATTATGAAAGATACCAAGAGACAGAGTCCTGCGGAGATGTACTGCGGAGTGTTTGAGGAAAGAACAGTTGTACTGCTAACATATATTTTCCAGCAGCTCAATGGTGATAACAGTTAGAAGAGATCTCCAGAACTTTAAGAATCGTCGTTTCTGAATGCCAATACCAATTTTTTTAAATAGCAAAAGTATTTAATTTAGATAATTTCTTTGTTATTAAATGTGTACCAAGAAATTATATAACTGATGTAGAGATCTGCTAAGCTTCAACAACCTTTAGTACATTCAGATCTACACTAACCAAAACATAAGTACAGTCTTCTTAGACAGTAACCTCTTCAGTAAAGCGACTCTTATCATCTAAATTAATAACTATAGCATGAGTCCTTGCATGCCCTGATCTAACACCTTTCACAGTCTCTGTACTACCGGGACTCGATTTTAGATCACTGATTTTCTCACTTATAGTGTTGTAATCATTCCTACTTACTTCTGGTGGTCGGATGTCACTACAGTTAGGTTCACCGGATATTTTAAACACACCGTTCTGTTTATCTTCCTTTGCTTCTTCGTTTATATCTGAACGATTTTTGGGCGAATCAGTAGTAACATCCGTTTGACTCTGTTCTGCATGGCTGGTTGTATTATCTGTATTACTTTTAGTGGGACTGAAGGTTTTGTGTTTGTATGCAGGAGGGGCTTCAAAAGGCATGTCTCTGCCGCTACTACTGGATTCTTCAGCTGGGGTGACTGTACACATTAGCCGGTCAGCTACAGCACTGAAGACTGTATTTAGTTTGAGTGGGGCAGAATGCTCCGAAGTGGGAGGCTTTCGATCATAAACTGTAGCAGCATCCTGCATGGCAGAAATTCTCCGTGATATGATGGCTCCAGTTCCGCACCGCTCCCTAAGCTTTTCGAGTTGGTTGCATATTTTTCTAAACTCCTCCTTTTAGAAAGAAAATCTTGTTAATAAGTTGATATTTCTACTGGTTAGTGAACTAATCTGTCGTCTGCATTTGCAAATCAGATTTTACAGTCTCTTATATTATAAAAATGATCTGTAATAGTTTGAATGTTTTCTTGTATTTCCACTTAAATATCCTCAATGTAAGATTTTTTTTCACTTTTCTTCGGTTGTGAAAGAAAATATAAGTACACTACAATTTTGTTTTTGTAACGATAACATGAAAAACATCAAACTATTGGTTAGTTGCTTCATATGTAGAAAGTTGAGGTAAATAAAACTTACTTTTCCCCTTGTTATACAGGTGAATTTTCATAAATATTTTCAATCAATTTCAATTTGTAAATACTAAGTCAGGTTAAAAAGTATACCACTTTTACTAGCCAAAAACATAGAACAGGAATTATTAAATACTCACCTCAAGCTCCCTCTCAGTCATATTATCACAGAACCTGGCGCTTCTGTTCGTAGTCATCGTGTATGTGGACTCCGCTGGCCGCGATCTGAACTTGCCCGTTTTCTCCCGCTCGTCTTTTCCATGCCCTTTGTACACCATGTATGCCTGATGGAATAATATTAAGCGTTAAATTTTACTTATTTAGAAATGAAATTAAGTGGAACTGATCTTTAAATATCTCTGATGTTGTGATCATATTTACAATGATGGTTAAATGCTCAATGATATTTGCCATTGAACCTCTATTGAAAATATTCTTTTGAAAATAATCTTGTCTATGATGCATTGAAACTTAGGTAAATTTAATAACATTTTTTATTAGGCCTTTACGTTATTTATGAGGACAGTAGAACCCATATATACGAGTCTAAATTATAATAATAATAATAATAATAATATTCTACCACATTCACACAACGCCATCTAGTCCCAAACTAAGCAGAGCTTGTACTATGGGTACTAGACAACTGATATAAATACTTAAATACTTTTTTTTTGTAAATACATGCATATTATACATAGAAACACCCAGACCAAATCAAACATTACATGTTCATGCACACAAATGTTTGACTTGAGCGGGAATTGAACCCGCGACCATTAGAATAGCAGTCCGTTACACAAACCACTACACCATCCGGTCGTCAAATTACGACCACACCTGTCATCAGTCTGCAAATGAAGAAATTTATGAAGTAGTTTTTAGCATTGGTCAATTTAGGAGACCTCGCTTTTCTTAAATTACAATGCCAAAGTCAAACAGTTTACTACAAACCATGAGACACATACATAAAACAAAACTTTAGTTATTTATTATTATTTTATTCAGTTTCAAATTTCAAGACACTTTCTGTGACCAAGTTAAGTTTTATACGCTTTTATGTTTGACCTATTTCTTTGACTCAAAGGTCTCCAAGATGTTTAAATGCTTTACGCTTTAAGTATTGGGCATGTTCAGGAATACTTTCTACATTAAAAATCACGGGCTCTCACTAACTTTTTTTTTTAAATACAACTATCGCACTAAGAATAAACCCTGTGTCGCGGGTACTTTACACACGTACATTAAACGGACACAAAGGATACCAAGACTCAGAACAACAATTTGTAGATCACACAAAGTGTTGTCCTTATGTAGGGATCGAACCCACAACACCCAGCGCAGTAGGAAGCGGCGAGGTGACCGCTTAAACCACTACGCCATCCGTGCAGCCCAAGTCAACGTTAAAACTTTCTCAAGCTATGATGTAAAATTAATTATGCATATATGGAATAAATGCGATTATCATTAATGTTTATTTCAACGTTTCAATACTTCTATGCCAATTATATGGATTCTGGATTGAGCGGTTTTCACAATACTTTTTGTGTCACATAACTAATCTGTGGAACCGAATTTTTGAACGCGTCAATTCACTTTGGAACTTTCAAGATCCTACTTCCACCTCAAAGGCTGGCAACGAACTAATGACTTTAGAGTTGAAGGTGATTATGGGCGGCGGTAATCACTTACCATGGGGTGACCTGTCTCCTCTTTTGCCTATGCTTTTTTACCAATAAATATAAAATAAAGACTGTTTTTCAAACAAAGACATGCGTGTAAAAGTTGAACAAGGATTTTAAAAACAAACCCACTTATTTTAAAACACAACAAAAACACTTAAAAGCACTTTAATAATATATAACGTAAACAAACAACAGTAACTAAATCCAGCGAAAGCGTCTGCATTTGTAAACGAAACCCATTAAGGAAATATAGCTAAATGTATGTCGACAACATTTTTTTCCGTAAGCAGTTTTATATTTTCTTTTAAATCTGCAAAACCCTGCAGTAAGTAAGAGTACGATTCATTAATAATATTAATTAGATGTTGATTAGGCAATTATTGTACTGATAGTCATATCGGCTCATGGATTAATTGTTAAATGCCTCGACCGACATCTTCAGAGGCTCGCGTTAGGCAGTTGGATTAAGGGCCTGATGCATAAAGCAGTTCTTCTCGATACGGCACGTATTGCGAGTAGGTTTTCGTCTCTGGAGTCCTAACCACCGATATCTTGGTCCCTGTACCCGGTATAGTACAGGCACCAAGATATCGGTGGTAGGTGTGGTAGGTATCGGTGGTTACGACTGGTTAGGTCGATGGAACTCTATTTTTATATTTTAAATGTATTTTTATTGTACATAATATAATGAAATAAAGAGAATTATAATAATATTTTACCACATTCACACACAATCCGTGTGGTGACGGATTAAGAATACAAATTGTCACCACCCCAATTCATCCCGTGGGTGTCGTAAGAGCCGACTAAGGGAGCAAACTAAGCAGGACAACAGCACTGCAAAGAGAAGGAAAACTTGAAACAAACCCTATACCAACCCGTCTGGCCAGCGTGGTATAGTAGGCCAAAACCTCCTTTCTAAGGAGAGGCCTATGTCCAGCAGTGTACTAGTATAGGCTGTTGATGATGATGATGATGATGATATTCACACAACGCCATTTAGTCCCAAACTAAGCAGAGTGTGTACTATGGGTATTAGACAACCGATATAAATACCTATATACTTTTTTGTAAATATACACATAGAAACACCCAGACCAAATCAAACATTAAATGTTCATGCACACAAATGTTTGACTTAAGCGGGAATCGAGCCCGCGACCTTAGGAGTAGCAGTCAGTTACACAAACCACTACGCCATCCGGTCGTCATCCAATCAAACTAATCGAACACAAGAAAGTTTGAACAATTAATATTTATGTACCTCATCATCATCATCAACAGCCTTTAATAGTCCACTGCTGGACATAGGCCTCTAGAAAGAAGGTTTTGGCTTACTATGCCACGTTGGCCAGACGGGTTGGTATAGGGTTTGTTTCAAGTTTTTCTTCTCTACTACTAGACCCACAGGCCCGTCAATAATAATTCAATACGGCTTACTCTATACCGAGACGTAATTGCCAAGCTAATTTCAACCTAATTAAACACCTCAATAAATAAAATAATGATGATAAGATCTTTATTATTATTTTTTCTAAAACCTAAGTTAAATCTCACTTGAACTTTATACTTACCCTTCTAAATATAAGCGGAGCCGCTGGGGCGGTTATAGCTGTTAATTTGGCCACGAGCCCAACATAGCTGGCAAGTGTGTCATCCTACTCGTTATGAGTTCCTGTTTTATCTGTGGTTCCATCTTGGAAGTTCATTGACTTATAAATTACGTTCTTATTTTTTACAATTTATCAATATTTGTTATAGGATAGCTGACTGCTTGGTGTGACAATGGTGTTGATTCCATTGTTCTAAAACTCTCTAAACTAAACTAAAAATCACAAAAAAATTGTTTAGTCCTGTCAAGTATTACGTTTTCAGAATAAGAAACGTCGTTTGACAAGACTAAACGAATTTTTAGTCATATTTGGTGTAGATAGTTTTCAAACAACAGAATTAGCAGTAGTGTGTATTAATCAAAGTCTTTGCAAAACATTGATAATGTTACGGCTTACTTGAGGTGATGTTATTTTCTTTGCTTTACGATATGAGGATGTTAAATAACATACCTCATTTACATTCCCGCGCGAGTGGCGAGGCGAGCGAAACGGGAGTGGTTTTTTGGACACTAGTCAAAAGTCGTAATATATTAATAATAAATTTTTCTATATAATATGCATATAATAAATGTTTTAACATAACTTGTACCGCTTCTTCTACTTTTCCCCCTTTAAGTCTACTAGTTACGATACTTCCATCGGAGCGACTGCCCTCAGACCTCCACAACCCAAATACTAGGCGATATCGAAGTTCTGTAGAAATACATTTGTCGGACTTTTTTGGGGTCCAACTACTCGTAACGATTACCAAAGATGTTTGCCTCACAGCTGGGACCGACGGTTTAACGGGCTCTCCTTGGCATGGAAGGGTTTCAATATTATTATTATTCTCTTTATTTACTTTATATACATATTATTTACATTTTTAAATATACACTTTATAAAAAAAAAAATACATTTAAAAATATAAAAAATAGTAGACCACCGACATCGGGTACAGGGACCAAGACACCGGTGGTTAGGACTCCAAAGATAGGAACCTCCTCACTATACGAGCCGTGTCAAGGAGGACTGCCTTCTGCATCAGACCCTTGATCCAGCCATCCAACGTAAGCCTCTTAAGGTGTTGGTCGAGGCTCTTGGCTATCAATCCATGAGCAGATACGACTATCGGAACAATGATCACTGAATCAACATTCCACATATCGACAATCTCGTGAGATAAATCCAAATATTTAATTTGTTTTTCTTTTTCAACTTTCACGAGATTCTCGTCATGAGGAACGGCGATATCAACAATCATTGCGCGGCGCTCTAATCGATCTATCAACACAATATCAGGCTTATTGGCAACAATAGTCCTGTCTGTGATAATAGATCGATCCCAATACAACGTGGCCCGACCATTCTCGAGAACTGGGTCGGGCACATACCTATAGTATGGCACCCGCGACCTTTAGAATAGCAGTCCGTTACACAAACCACTACGCCATCCGGTCGTCTATCCGGAATGCGTAGTGGTTTGTGTAACTAGCTTAAGCAGAGGAAGAGGAGCTAAAGTCATTATTCAAGTAAATTAATCTACACACATACACTTCAACCCATATACTGTTAACAGGACTATTAATTGCTCCATCCTCGTTATACATTTCACTTGATACGTGGAATATAATTTAGTTAGAGCTTAATGAACTCATTTAAATGAAACCCTTGCCTCCTACTTTGACAAGGAGGGTCCGATATAAAAAGAAGTAGGTTTAGTTCTCTTAAATATGGAAAACAACTATAGAGCGAGACCTCTCAGGGCCTCCATACATTCATCAACAGCCTTTAAGAGTCCACTGCTGAACATAGGCCTCTCCTTAGAAAGGAGGTTTTGAGCTACTATAACACGCTGGCCAGACGGGTTGGTATAGGGTTTACAGCTGTTCCCGGATCCCTCCTGTTACAGGCGCAGAGTGGCACACCGTGTGGTTTTAGTCGGTCCGAGTCCGACACACCACCCCGCCGCAAACCCCGGAGGGGTGACGGTCCGAGGGGATTTCCACACGTTAAAAAAAAAAAAAAAAAAAGGGTTTGTTACAAGTTTTACCCGCGGTCGCAACCTTCTGCGAGGAAGTAATCTCGCAGAAGGAGGCGGCGGAGAAGGCCCGGGAGGACGACACACCACCCCGCCGCAAACTCCGGTGGGGTGACGGTCCGAAGGGATTTCCACACGTTAAAAAAAAAAAAAACTTTATAAAAAAAAAATATAGTTTTAAAAAACTAAAAAACACGCTTTGCATAGAAAACCAAACTAAAAAAATAGATAAAAAAATTAAAAAAAAGCGTTGGGTGCCTGTTGTCAATAGTAAAAAGCAGCCCACGATTTTTTTTCTCTACAAAGTTTGAACGAATTCTGACCGTTTAAAGTCAGTCAAAATCACGCCCAAAGGAGTCGGTTACAAACATAAAAACAAACATACAAGTGAAGCTAATATAAAGCTTGTAAAAACAAACCATAAAAAAGACTCGTAAAAGCTAAATGGACTAAAGTGTTTCGTCCTTAGATTACTTTTATATCAATCTTGACTTACTGCTCCTTATAAACACTGATTAATTACAACCTTAGGTTAGGCCTCTGATTATTCACATAAATTTCATTAATAGCACATGAAATTGTTACAAAGCCTTAAATATGGCCCAAGAAATGAGCTCAAAATAAAAAATTTCAGCAGCTTATGAAATTCTTAGAATAGTCTGCTTTAAAACTCCTGCAGCCTCTACAACAAAGCTTGCAAAACGAGATTTTGATGTACCAAGTTAGATACTTAACAATTTACCTGGCAATTGAAATTTTGTTGCGAAACTAATTTCGTTTGAAAGTCCTGAGCAATCGGTTTAAAACTTTTCCCGGCATGATTCAATATAAAGTTCTGCACTGTTTTTTCTTTCTTGAGATACTTTTGAAGTTGTGTACGTGAGTTTTATTTCTTGAACTGTAAAGGGGAACTTGAAAGTATGCACTGCAAAGCAGGTGGGTAAGGCGAATGAGAAATTTCTTAAGAAGGAACTCTGCTTACATATAAATACTTAACTTTTATTTTAAATGAAATTATGATGAAATGATATTTATTTCTGTAAGTTAATCTTTTCAGATATTTTTACAAGTCGGACTTTACAGCTAGATTGAGTCCGCATTTCCTAAGACTCACTCTGGGAAGAAACGCCCAAACAAACCACAGAGGTGTCTTTTTTCAGTCCGTAAACAAAGTTGAAGAAAACTGTGCGAGTACAGTGTAGGGTCTAGGTAGGCTTTCTGAAGTAAGGGCCATAGTTTTGAGTCGGCCTATCCATACAGACGGCATACGAGCCGCAGTAATCGTGTAGCCTAATCGAGATTAGTCAAGATTAACGACCCGAAGCGCGACACTACAGCCACTTACTACACACCGTAGGCTAAGGAAACACTCAAAACCACCACAAAGTTACTAAATATAAAGTAACATTACAAAATAGTAGTAATAGTACGCAGTAAAAATATTTAGTAGTGATGTAGTTGTAGAATTGTCTTAGACAAAACTTGAACTTTTCAGGTAATTGTTAAGGTTTTTTCATCATCATGTTACTTAGAGTTGTATGATACATTTATGAAGTTAAGTTATAGTTAAAAAACTCATTAAAGCAATCTAAAAAATTTAATGCTCACGCTGTACTCGTATACGCTCAAGAGATATTAAAAAAAGAAAATTTTACGATCCTCGGTATTGTTTACGTAAAATTTAAAGCAGTTAAAGTTTAGTTTCTAAAGTTAAGTTTAGTTTCTAAAGTTAAGTTTAGTTTAGTTTAGTTTAGTTAAAGTTAAGTTTCTCCTTTCCAAGAAGAGGCCTATGTCCAGCAGTGGACTAGTAAAGGCTGTTAATGATACTGATGAAAATTTACATTTAGAAAAACAAAGATAAATTAAAATGACTTGTAGTGGAGAAAATATCTACCAAGCTGTTATAAGTGCAGCAAAGATATTGATCTATCCTGATTTAATCATACGTTCAAACCCGAAAACAGAAATAAATGTTATGGTCAAAAAACAGGCAGTATTTAGTAATTAAAAAATCACATTGTTTTGATGCTAAAATATAAAAGCTTGTTCTAACGCAATTAACCCATGACCTTGGACTGGCATATAGGCCTCCCCAAGGCTCGCCATAACAACCGGTTCTATGCTGCCCTCATCAAACGGCTTCCAGCGACCGAGTACTGTAAGTCGAAGCGTGGGTAGGTGACGGATTTGGTCAAGGTCTTGGAAAACTGTTGGATGCCGGCAGTGGAGAGTTATATTTATTTACATACTCTTCACACTTTTCAAAATTTCTTTATCTTATTGATGAAAATTTGATTATGCAGTAAAAGTAAAGCTGGTCCAACAAAAGGCATAACATTAACAATCATTCATTCATTCAATCAAGGCATTAACAATCTTACCGTGCCTACCTTGCTCCCAAAGATGAAGCACAGCAACAAAGTGACTGTAAGCTGAGTGTGGCAAAAGAATATAATGTAGAGGAGATCAGGGTTCGCTGGTGATTGTAGGAATAACCTGAAACAAAGATTTACTTTTAGTATTCAATCAGCTGAAGTGGCAATGAGGAAAACGAGTTCCTGAGTGGAGACCACGTCTCCACTCAAGAACTCAAACGTAGTGTAGGACGCTCACAGGCTAGGTGGAGTGACGATTTGCGCCAGATGGCATGCGGGAGCTGGATGCGAGAAGCCCAAAATCTATCTAAGTGGCTTGCAATGGGAGAGGCCCATGTCCAGCAGTGGACTGCGATAGGCTGATGATAATGATGAACCAATCAATCAGCTTTTGCAGTTGACTGAGGGCTTAGGTTCAGATTCTCGATGTTTACTGCAGCTCCCGGACTTTTGTCTTTTACATCCAGCCCTGCTAACATTTTAAACTCTTTGCTCCATCTGGCTTGGGTCCGTCCTACCTTATATTTCCTGTTTGGTCACCACATTCCACCTATGTATGCACATTCTGTGAGCTAAGTCGGTTACTTTAGTTCTTTGTCTGATAATTTCTTTACAAGTGAATTCTTGAAAGAAATACCAAGCATTATTTATTGATGACCACGTCTCGGCACCGAAAGTCAAAACAGATGAGTCGCACTCATCTTGGACCTGCCTTTTGAGGCATTACGGGAAAAAACCCTAATGCTGCCCAACGTAAGTGGATTCCTGTGGTGATTATATCAAGCTGTACTAGATAGGATGCGTCCTTTGGTCTTGGAGTTTAATGGTTATATACACCTCTGTCTCCGTGATTAATACAGTTGCAGATTATTCAGAACTGCTAAATTAATACTGGTTTATTAATATCAAAGTAAAAATAGCTAAAAATTAAACTGTTGTTAAATTTCATACGTTTTATTCATAGATGACATCATTTTAAGACTGGATGACAGGATACATTAAATAAAGCCGTAAGAGGTTGAAATTGTGAAATTACTGTGTGTTAATTTAACACTTGGGCTGAAATTAATTTGAAGTAGCGCCCTTATAACTGTTTTAATTTGGGAAGAATTTAGCCTCTTATGATGGTGATGTTGAAAATACAATAAATTAGGTATGTTATTATTTTTGATATAACAAAACAATTTAAATTCTTGGTTTTCTATCATGAGCTGTTTAAAATCGGTAGTTAAAAAATAAAACTGCAGGTCAGCCTACTTGGTTTCTCAGGTGGACCCAGGAATAGGTTTAAGGAGTACTCAGTCAGCTGTGTTACCCCCTCTACTTAGCCATATTTGATACGAGCCAATGCCAAACAGCCGTTTCAACGTTGACATTTTCGAAGCCATGTTCTCCAACTTGGCAAGAACCGAGAAGTTGTTCCCCCTAATCATTGTTTTCCTTGCTTCCTGTGCTTTATCAAAAAACTTTAAAACTTCTGCCACTATGATTTATTATCCCCCATTTCTTGCATAGTTTCACGCCTGCCGTCTAATATTTTTTGTTTTCGTTGCAGTTTTTTATTGTTCTTTTATTTCAAGTTATCTTTTATATTCATACAAAGTATTGTGCACATATTGGTCTTTAGTATTGTTGTAAAAAAAACTTGTTGTACAATAAAGTGTTTGCTATTCTAATCTACGTAGCTACTAAGTGGATATGGATTCTAAAAAGGATTTGAGTTACCATTTTGCAACAAAGTATTGCTCACAACAAAAGTAGATGTCTCAAATTTAGACACTTGAACATAACAGCCTGATCAGTGCCTAAGAAAGTGTTTAAATTTTAAATCCCTCTGAAAAACAAACTAAAAATGTCCGAGAATCTTAAAGACAACATAAATATGAAACTGTGTAATAAACTTAGTAAAATATTTGATTTTGCAAAAATGTAAACAAAATATGACACAAAAAAAGGTGTTAATCTGACGTCTTTAGATTTATAAATTTATAGGAGTCCCGGGGCTAAGCCCGAACTTTGGGTTCGACAACAAATCTTTATGACGGAGTATTAACAAATTTCCTTCCGTTGAGCTTCTGGAAATTTTTAGGCTCGTCCTTTTAAGTATTCCAGAGCTTAATATTTGTAATAAAATCTGTCAAAAGTTTATGATTAAAACTGGCTACAAAGCCAGTTTATACTAGTTTATGGCCATAACAAAAAATATGAAAGATAATATAACAGAAAACCAAATGATAAAACGTTTATATCTATGCTAAACAAATCTTATAATATAATCTTTGTATAAATTCTTCGGTATATCGCGGAACCCTTTTTGATAAAAAAACGGCGTGAGGGGTCTATGGAGCCCCGGTCGGCACGAAGTTCCTTTCGCTTTTTGGTAAACGCTTGCTATACGCAAGCGTTTACCAAAAAGCGAGCGAGCGAGTCATTATAATTTATATTATAAAATATCAAGTTATTAGAGTTAAATTGAAAACTTTATGATGAAATATATTTATTATGTATAAAACAAATAATGATAAATTATACACTGAATGATCTGGGATCATCATCATCATCATCATCATCAGCCTTTTGCAGTCCACTGCTGGACATAAGCCTCTCCCATTGCACGCCACTTAGATCGATTTTGGGCTTCTCGCATTCAGCTCCTGCCAGCCATCATGCGCAAATCATAAAAAACAATAATAATAATAACAATTGATCTGGGATAATTAAGTTAATTACAAATAAAACATTTAGGAACATTATAAATTTTATTTTATTAGTAATACTTTTTTAATTTTGGATGGTTCCGATTCATGTACAAGTACGGTACGGTATGTCAAGCTGCAACCGGGTTTTAGCTGTTTTATGGTATGTGGATGAATGGTTCCATTAATTTAGATTCATAATTCGAACCAGTAATCTTTCCAGATTTTTTACAAGTCAGAATTTACAGCTAGAAGGCGCCGGCATTTCCTAAAACTACCACAGAGGTGTCTGTCTTTTTTGCCCGTGAACAATTTTAAAGAATACTATGCAAGTACAGTATAGAGTCTAAGCTGAACTTTTGAAGAAAGGACAATAGTTTGGAATCGGTCTGTCCATACAGACATTACAAAAATGACATGAACTAAATTTACATTCACAAAAATATACTATACAATTCAAGTTCAAGGAAAAAATAAACAAATTGAAAACAAAGGAAATCCCTGTCAAACATATCAACAACGATAAAAAGGTAAATTTGTCGTCTAAATAATTATTTAGATGACAAATGAAACAAAAACTATGAGAAAAGGCTTACTACACGGTTACAGATTTTTTTACCGTGTAGTAAAGGTACCGTGTAGCAATGGCACGTCAAATGTATGTCGGGGAGGCAACAGGATGGCAAGTGGTAATCTGGGCCTTGGAGTGGTACAAAGCCCCCTATAAAGGTGATACCCTAATTATATAATAAAATTCTGTTGCCAGCCGAAACACGTGGGCCGTTGTCGAACTAGACAATGAAAAAAATAATTGTGAGGCAACCGCTTCAAAATTGGTGAGTATACACCACCAAACGTTGGATAAAACCGCCATCCAATCCTGATGGGCTTCGGAGAAACATCCCTTTAAAGTCGCCCAAAATTTCAACAAAAAAAAAAACAGTAAAATTGCTCAAATCGGATGGCATTCGAAATTTAAACTGTTATAGGTACGAATAATGGTGTGTAACAATGCCATCCGATTTTGATTAAGTTTACCCCTACTTTCGCCACCCCCAAACCTCATTTAAATTACAATATTGCCATACGCTACACATTATTGTGTATGAAATTACTTATGCCGTTCTGTGTATACTCTGTATACTCATAACTTAGTGATTAGTGTTGAAAGAAAGAAAGAAAGAAAGAAACATTTATTTGCACAGAATACAGGTGGTACCAGATGTTATTACCTATTTATATGCGCTATACTCAAAAATCTAATATATTTAGTTTTTTCTCCTTTAAAAGTAAATTATTAAACCAGTTCACGACCTTAGAGAGAGTGTTATTCACATCACCAGAAACTGGTTGCTGTCGTTTAAGTTTAAATAAAAGTGAAGTGTCATTCACAACTAGTCGTAACACTATCTCCTGATTATCTTTTTGGTAGATGGAGTAACAACACATACACACACGGGTTCTGGAATACTTCACTTTTAGACGATTTTTTTGTATGAGCTTCTCCTAAGTCTTTTTATGCTTTTTAGATTATTTTTTGGTGATTTAAACACAATTATTTATGATATCATAGCAATACGAGGAAACAGACAATCAATTATCCATATTAATACCAAAAATTAAATATAGACTATTATATTCTTTACTCTTTAGCCATTGATAGACATTGTACAAATTTCTTTCAGTGTTTATCTGCTACTCAGGTACACATTTTATACCTCACAATTCATCTACAAGCGTAACGAGCGTCGACAATGTACGCTTACAAAGCATCGACATAAAGTTTAACATAAATAGGGATCCACGCAATTTATAACACGAATAAAGTACGGAGCTATACAAGGTTGTTTAATTTAGTCACGATGTAAATTGCATATTGTGTACAAACTGAGCTTTACAAAATTGGTAAGTGAAGAATAATAATATCCTTTTTAGAAATATTAAACAGAATTAGGTTATGCACGTAAGTTAAAAGATTGAAAAAGTAGTGCAAGAAGCCGGTGCTGAGGTATTATTTTGTTGCTTTATGACCGAGTGAGTGAGGTTACCAGAAGCTCAATTCCGCTTAAACTTTGAGGGGGGTGAGGGGGGGGGTGTAATAATTTTTGTGATTATTATTGACGTGACTTATTACACTTGAGTTGACTATTAGTTTAATTATTAACATAGTTTTAAAACTATCAAAAATTGTAGATGTAGATTGAATTTTAACTCGCTCAAATATACATAATTATATAATGACTTGTATAATAGAAAATGTAGCAAAGACTCCAGTTTATAATTATGTATATATAGGTAAATTGTTGTAGAGTCGGCGTCGTTGAAAGGATTTTAAGAATTAATCTCCCTATTCTACGCCTCTATATCCGTGCCATTGCGGCAGGCCTTATGTCTTGACGGGTCCGGATCAAAGGCTTTTGTAGTGTTAACCAGTTTGCCTTACCCTTAATGACTTGAGTAAAATGGAGTGTGAGATTACATCGTCATGATCATAGAATAATGACGGTTTTGAAAAAAATACGAAATTAAGTTTTTGTCATATTTGGATAGTAAATTGTCTGAATATTATTACTACATTCACGTAAAAAATATATGTTATTTAGATTTTAAATTATTCAGTGTTTGTTTGATAGGTGCTCAAAGTCAAGCATGTGATTTTTCTAGAAAATTGTTTTGTTATTAGTCGTTATTTTAATTGCATTTTAAAGTAAATGCTATTTTTCACTTGTACGCTAATTTTCATAATTACAGATTTAGAATTAAAATAGTTATATCAAAAAATTAATATAATTATTTGAAATGGCTCTCTGTAAAGTTCAGCTAATGTCAGATCCGACACTATTCTAAGAATATGACGTTACAGATAGATAATCAAAAGGTGCGAACTTGTAAAAGCGTCATAAGACTTTTAATCATCTTTTTGGTGAATTTTATATCTCAAAAATAATATCCCCATTTTTTGTGATTTTAGATGAGCATTAATTAACACCGGTCTATTGGACTATCTTAGTAACATCAAGGGTTCTGCAAATTATTTTCCATGAAATTTCGTTACCAAGAAAACCGCTTTGATATTTAAAACATTTTAAAAACTTTGTTAACAAAGATTGAATTTTCGAATTTGATTTTGTTTTTGCCTTGAGGTTAACAGGAAGTTTCCGACTTTAAACCAAGGTCCTATCATTATGAGCTGTCATATCATTGAGTCGAAACTAGTCACCACATTAGACAAACAAAAGGCATTACGGTTGTCAGGTGTAATATATACGTCGCGAAGGAGACGGCGGAGCGGGACCGGGAGAGGTTTAGGACTCTCCCGGCCCACCAGGCCCGGGAACGGGCCAGGTACCGCAGGCGACTCAGGCGCCGGAGGTCGCAGAACGACCTCCGTCCTCCATAAGCGCAGGCCTGGGGGTGACAGGTGAGGCCATCTGTCACCCTAGCAGAAGCAGGCCGGGGTGGCGGCGAGCGCGTTGCGAAGCGCGCTCGCTTCCAGGGAGCACAGGGAACATGTGGTTCCCACACGGGGGGGGGGGGGGGGGGTCGTCTACGCGTCTGTAGATGACCCAAGGTATGTCGGGGTACCAGGGACTTCCTTTCTAGGGTATACTTGGTTCCCCGGTTATTAGTACCCGAGACGTCGTGCAGTTTTAGTCGGTTCGAGTCCGACATGCCACCGACAGGTGGTATCCGAGGGGATTTCCGCACGGAAAAAAAAAAGGGTGTACCTGGTTCCCCCGGCTATTAGTACCCGAGACGGCGTGCGGTTTTAGTCGGTTCGAGTCCGACATGCCACCGACAGGTGGTATCCGAGGGGATTCCCGCACGGAAAAAAAAAAGTGTAATATATACGAGTATAACCGAACACCTTAGTAAGCATTAAGCGAGTCATTTGTTTAACTATTTAGAACAAACGTTTAATTGGGCAGTGCACTTTGGGTGACCGCGACATTCGGTTGCATTCGTTTCAACATTATAAAATTTTCATTTAACTAACATTTCTAGCGTTTAAAAACATAGTTATTATGAACCTAAACAACATAGTATTAGAGTGTAAAATTTAAAACATTACTTTTATTTAATAAGCACTGCAATCCTCGCGCTACCCCGTACAACGTTATAGTAAGATATTTTTTCAATATTTCTTTTTAAAGTACAAGAACTCTTCATTGGAATTCCAGACTTTTTTTCATAAACGGGTAGAGGAATTGAAATAGTTATGTCTGCAATACATTAAAGTACTCAAGTTTGTTTTGAATCAATTTAATCATTTTTGATCAGGAATTACAAAATTTGGTAAGAAGCAATATCTGAATATCATACACTTTTTTTTTGTTTTTATAAACTTATATGTTGCGGTTAGAAGAATGATTGAACCGTTTATCGTTGTTTCATTTTATTCTTATAGCTTCTCAGTAACGGGTAACAAGGTACAAAGAAATACACCTCATAAATTCGATATTTTGGATCGAAGTTCCTTATCGCGCGTTGTGAAAGGGGGCTAGACGGAAAAAATTCTTACGAAAATTGGTCACGACACTTTTTATTTTGAATTGTCACTTGTCATTCAGCGCCATCTATCGAATAGTAAAATTAAAATTTATGTTCTTAGGTTGAGCAAAAAATATTGTATTCGACATCATTTCTCAAGGAGATTTTACCAATGTATAAATTGTTTTAATTAGAAACCAACTGAAAAATATGTAGGTAATAGCCGCTTTCATAGATGGCGTTGTAATTAAAATCGTGTCTAATCAGTTTTACTCGATCGTAACAACTTCGTTCCTATCGGGTGTCCCACGACACCACACGGCTTTTTGTTTTTTTTTTTTAATTATAATCAGTGTCACTAAAACCGGGATTAAATCAGCTGCTCTGCTCACAAATTAATCCTACAAATCCATGTCTGATAAATTAAATTTTCAATTTAAAATAAAAACACAACGGATTTAAAATTATCTACTTTATGCCACTTGATACTCTTGTTAGCTATTCAAATACCATGGTACCTTTTTTCTAAAAGCATAAGGTTAAAAACCATCATAGAATTAGAAAAAAAACATTCATTTTTCGAAGTGTATTTTTGTGAAGTTCTTTGACTCTTCAAAATAGTACCCATCTGGTCTGAGACTAGTCGGACACCTTAGTAACTTATAGGATTTGTAAAATTAGGCTACCATCCTTAACTTTTTTTCTGTGCAGAAATTGCCTCGGATACCACCCACCGGAGGCTATGTCAGACTCGAACCGACAAAAAACCGCACGCCGTCTCGGGCACCAGTAGCCGAGGAAAAAGGTGTACCCTAGAAAGGAAACTCCTGGTACCCCGACGTACCCCGGGCCATCCACAGCGGGTAGATGACCCCACCTATGTTAACCCCATGTTCCCTTTGTGCCCTCGAAACCACCCTAAAAAACCGAACAGTAACTATAATAACGCAGGTTAAGATGTTGGATCTTAAAACCTTACATACCATAAAACAATTTAATTTGTATTTATAATGCCCAGATGGAAATATAAGAAGTATTATATAATTAATTATAATAGGTAAAAATTTGTGCTATATTATATAGAAAGAGACACACTTACATGGATATATTAAGGAAAACAGAGAGAAGGAATTCGTTATAAATTGCCATGGAGATGAACCGGCTTTCGTTGAACTCCGAAGGCGCTTTTCGCACCATGATACACAGCCTGATGCCCCACATCAAGAAAATCACCTCCACTGCAAAACAGAAAAAAATATTAGGAGGACATTCAATATTTATCTCGTATTTTTTACTACACGGATGGCGTAGTGGTTTAAGCGGTCACCTCGCCGCTTCCTACTGAGCTGACTTCTGTGGGTTCGATCTAAAATTTTCACGAAATAAATAACTAAGGCATATATAGACAATAATAATGGATAATCGGTTTAGTGATTAGAGTTCGATTGCTACGCAGGACAACAATTCATGTGATGTTTGGTTGTAATTCATTTTTAAAATGTATCTGTTTAGAAATGTTAGTCCTAAGTGTGATTTTCCGTGTATTGACAGATTATGAATATGGAGTGTCACCAGCTCTATTCATACCGTGGGTATCGGAAGAGCCGGCTAAGGGAGCAAAATACACAGAACAACCGTACTCGTTCTCTCTCTCTTCGCTAGTAGGCCAAAACCTCTTTTCTGAGGAGAGGCCTATGCAAGTATGTGGACTGTTAAAGGCTGATGATTGTGGTTATCAGTAGTCTGGATCAGACGGTATCGAATGAGTTGTCTTAAATTGTTATTGTAATATTTGAAAGCAAAATTGCCCAAACTATTCTTGAGTTAATAGTTTTTAGACAACAAACCAACCAATATACACACAAATGTTTTATTTGGGAACTTTTGCAAGCATTAATTGCTGTCTATTGTCTGTATTATATACAGATATTGACGATATTTAAAATTTTACTTACACGTAGTAAATGAGTGGTCCCACCAATCTGTATTACACAGATACGCCTTCAAATCATCCTTGGTCCTCCCGACGATGACTGCAGGCGGTGCAACCAACGTCCGAATAGCGAGCAGTACACACGCTACTCCAACGATGATGCCGATCCGACGCAGAAGGTACATGTCTGATATTTTCACCGCCTTCGCTGATCGGACTTGGAAAATTACTGATATCCTGGAGACAAGAGTAGGTGATGTAAAAAAAGAAAAAAAAAAAGAAAAGAAAAGAAAGATGTTAAAAGCATACTAAAAAAGTTATTACATTCTTTTGTTTGCGCATACGAGCTAACGGGGCATCACCTAATGGTAAAAGCCAACCGACATAGACTTAAGAGCTACAAGTACGTTATGCTCCTTGGATTCCCTCCACTCAGGATTATGGTGCTAATAATATACCAATTATCATCATAAAACATCACATCATCACAGTTTACATACGAACATTATTTTTTTTACTTCTAGAAGGTCTCTCTCCGTATATCACGTGAAAAATAATCAAAAATTGCAAAAATGGATTTATAAATAATGAATATGCAAAATATTAATCAGATGAATCCAATCTGGACAAATTTAGATACTTATTCGGTCAACACCTTAAAATAATTTATGAAACCCAAAAATCAGTATTAAATTTTTAACTTTGTAACTTAAATCTTAATTTAAAATCATTCGTAAGGGAAACTAACTAACTAACTGTCCGTGTAGTGACGGATTAAGAATACGGAATGTCACTACCCCAATTCATCCCGTGGGTGTCGTAAGAGCCAACTAAGGGCGCGATCCACAATAAAAATTACTATTACTAAACCATCTGCTTTTATCAGATTATAATATCTGATAATTGAAACGGTCATGACTGTTACTACATAAACGGTGTTTTTAAAAAGGTAGTAAAATAAAATACCAAAGACAAGCCGGATATGATGTAAATAAATACAGTCACCACCCCTATTCATGACGTGGGTGTCGTAAGAGCCGACTAAGGGCGCGATCCACAATAAAAATTACTATTACTAAACCATCTGCTTTTATCAGATTATAATATCTGATAATTGAAACGGTCATGACTGTTACTACATAAACGGTGTTTTTAAAAAGGTAGTAAAATAAAATACCAAAGACAAGCCGGATATGATGTAAATAAATACAGTCACCACCCCTATTCATGACGTGGGTGTCGTAAGAGCCGATTAAGGAAGAGAACTCCGCAGAAAAACAGCACTGCAAAGAGAAGGAAAACTTGACACAAACCCTATACCAACTCGTCTGGCCAGCGTGGTATAGTAGGCCAAATCCTCCTTTATAAGGAGAGGCCTTATTATCATTTATATCCATCAATGGACAATTAAAGGCTGTTGAAGAAGGGAAACTAAAACTAAAGTTACTCAGCCCAGAAATGGGTTAGTGTTTTGATATCAAAGTCGGTTTGACATGTTTAAACATATTTCAATATTGAGAAGGATCTAATATCTCATTAGTAATAGATACATACATCTGAAATTGAATAACTTACTAACATATCAAAGCCATTTTAAAATATCTATTATAAGCTATCGGGAAATACGAAGACGATCATGAACCGAAATGGATTAAATATCAAGATTCTGGGAATATTAATATACCAAATATTCTCTAAGCCTTATTGTTTTACCCTAATACTAGTTTGATATATCAGTTTAGTTTGGCAATGTTTACATTGTTAATAATATCGAATTATACTATCAATTTTCGAAACAAAAGTTTTGAAAAAGCTCAAGGTTTATTAAAGGGTATATTAAAACATAGTAAAATTCTATACAGATAATAATATTGTACACTTTTGTAAGATTTACAGTTAAGGCTAATCACTGCATTAAATAAGTAATCCTTAAAAAAAAAACGAAAATTAGGGCATAGTGTAGGTACGGTTGGTGGATTATTATTATTAATAACCTGACCTAATTGATATGATTAACCTATACTTCTTAAAAATATTTTTTATAACTTATTTTATAAACATCTCCCACGCTAGCAATATTTTCTGTATCGCGGAGGACTTTACAAACATACAAGAAATGGACACAACGAATTCCCACATGTGGAACAACAATTTGTGGACCACACAAAGTATTGTCCCATGTGTGTATTGGACCCACAACACTAAACTACTTACGCAATCTGTGCAATCGCAGTATTACACCCCACCCCTAGAGGATATTGTTCCTAAAACATTCGTGTTATTTAGCACATTAAACATTAGAAAGTTAGACACGGTTCACCACAACAACTGTCGTGTGCTGCCCGCATGTGTTGATGATATTTTGAGAGATGCCTCAGATATCAGATGAAAATAATGGTAAATCTTAAGTTACCCTCATTTATAGATAGCTTCTTCCTTAATTCCCTTCAAAATTCTCAGAGAAAATGAAATTTATCTTGACAAGAAAAAATCCTGCTTCGCAACATAATTAATTAAAAGGAATTTGAGTCTAATTTAAAAGTTCAGGTCCAATTATCTACTTGAAATAAGAACAAAATTGCAGATTTAGAAATAAAAAAGAATCGTTTGATGTTAGGAATATATATTTGGTCTCCATTTTGTTGTCTAAAAGCTTTGCATAATTACCTAGAAGATAAGTGTAAGGTTTTGTGAGTGAGTTATTTATGTAATGGCCTGCTCTGTAGCATGCACAGTCTGATGGATTTTGGTTCGTTAGAATCGTCTTGATTGTGAAAGTTACGATGAATATAAAAGAAATAAGATGGCTGGATTTTGGCAATGTTTAATATGTCAATTTTTTTTACAACACCATGGGTTTTTGAGGTAAGTTGTATGTATATCAGCATGTACAGAGTTACGTAAATGTCTTACAATGACAAATAAATATAACAGCAACAGTGAAACTTATACTATTTAATCGTTATTTTAGAAAGCAAATGCTGCTTTTATTATTTAAGTTAATTTATTAAGTTTGTAAATTTTAATGATGTTATTTTTAAGCGGTCGGTTTTTTTAAGTTCATTGTCATTTTAGTGACAGTTTATTTTAAATATGATGATCATAGTTCTCGTTGAAGTTTAGTGATTATAAAACCGAAAAAAAACATTAACTGCTTTTATAACTGCAAAAAAAAAACTGTATTAAACTTGCACTTTCCTTATATCTATGTGCCTTTTTTTTATGTAATAGGGGGAAGACAAGCAAACGGGTCACCAGATGGAAAGTGACTACTGCCGGTCATCAATGTCTGCAGTTCAGGAGTCACAAACGTGTTGACGGCCTTTTAGGAATGAGTATGCTCTTTTCTTAAAAGTTTGAAGGTCGTATCGGTCCGGAAATACTACGGTTGAGCGCTAATTATCCAGGTGATGATGATTAGAACGATGGCGGAAAGTTGTGACCGTACCGTACCGGTCACAACTTTCGTTCAGTTCCTCGTAGCACTCTCCATGATATATACGATAGAGAATGCAGAGTGAAACTACATCACTACGTAACGCCAAGCGATCAAGCCGATCAAAGATCTTTTCAATTCTAGTCGCTCTGCGTTGGATGGGGTCCAGACGGAGAAGCTGGTACTGAGGTGCCACTGCATGGAGATGAAAAATAAATTTACTTACAGAAATAAATATAATTCATCATCATGTTTATGCACTTTTTATCACTTTACATCAACAGCCTTTAATAGTCCACTGCTGGACATGGCCTCTCCTCACAAAGGAAGTTTTGGCCGACTATTTTATCACTTGGACCATCCAAATAGATAGATTAGTATTTAATACATAATATTAGTTAACAAATCAAATAACAATAGATTTCATGCTTATTTGCAGTAGGAGAAATGCATCACGCTTTGCGTGAATTGGTATTTAATAGTTATATGTTTTTGTGAAATGTTTCTTTCAGTATATATTATTGCAAACCATGACTTAAACTGCAATGTTTGTTCGAGGGAAACGTTTATTTTAATATGAAAACACACATTTAAGTACCATGTTCCATGCAAAGAAAAGAAGCGTCGTTCATCACATCAAAATTAAGATCTCAGAGTACAACTTAAACTGATTTCAGTTTATCAAATTATTAACTTTTCTCGTTTACACTGATGAAAAACAGAATTGAATTTTAAACTTAAAATTGAAATTTCAGTAAAGGTGTGCTTAGTGATGTCCCCGGGTGGTAAAACCCAATTAACGGTTCTAATTCCGGGCTTAAGAACGGTCTGGTGAATTTTTGTGATACCTGTCCATAATAAACATTATTTTATTAATATTAGGGCAATACAAGTGTCCTATATATATGGAACTATAAGACCTTCAATTATCTATATATCTAGCAATTTTAATTGGATTGTAAATACAAAAAAAAAATCAAAATTTCAATTTTATATTGCTACGTCGCACGTGTTGTGGGTTGAAATCCTACATGAGAATAGGCGAGGTCTTGGTGTTCTTTGTGTCTATTGGTAGAATGCGAGGCAGAAGGCATTCTTAGGGTGGAATATGTCTTTAAAGGAAGACAGTGCCAGCCCGTTTTCAGATCGTCGAAAGTCCTTGTGAGATCACTTATTTTGTGTTTATAATTAATATTTCTTTTCCATATTTTGTTAGTAATTATTTGCTGTAGTTCTGTGTTAATGAGCAGTAGTAACTGTTTACAGTAACGAGAAGCAAAATAGAATAGTATCCTTATAAAGACTGTTTCAAGTTTTTGAAATAACAATGTTATGGTGTTACTACCTTTCAAAATTGACGTATTTTTTTAAATATAGTAAATGACGTTAGCAGTAATAGTAGAGAGTCGTCTAGTTAGTACTAAGTCGACATTTAGAACCTGTAGCTATTAATCAAGCGCCATCTAGGGTAATCAAACCAAACTTTTAAGTACATAACCTACATCTCACATTGAATGTTTTCATTCAGTTCATTGTATAATCATCATCAATCATCGTCAATAGCATTTAATAGTCCACTGATTTATATAGGCGTATAATTAAAAAATAAATTTTGGCCTAATATACCTTTACCTCTAGCTTTTGAATGCACGGATGGTTTAAGCCTACTACGCCGAGTGTTGTGGGTTCAAAGCCCACATGGGACGACACTTTGTGTGATCCACAAATTGTTGTTCTGAGTCTGGGTGTTCTTTGTGTCCGTTTCAGGTATGTTTGTAAAGTCCCCCGCGACACAGGATATATTCCTAATGCGGGAGATGTCTTTTTTTATCAAGAAAACCAAAACCACGTTAGTGTAAAAAAAACTTATTTGTAAAAAAAGTTGCCCACATACCTCCAAGTCTTCAACATTAGTGCCCCGTACGTGAGGCAAAAGCCAACTTCCCGCAGCCACACCCTGGCGGTGCAGGTAAACACTGTTGGTCTTCCGTACATCACGAGTGTAGTGCAATAGATAAGCAGTGCACCCAGTACTATGACGCGAAGGAGAGCTGGACTGGCAGCTCTAACGACCTGTGAAGCAATTAGACTATTTAAAAAATATCACTAGGACATCTGAATCAAATTAGTTTTTTCTTTGGGAATCTAATAATTTTTACCAAGGAAAACCGGCGCGACAAAAGTGATCTTATGGAAAACAGTGTTAAACAGCTTTCCTTTGCTTTGGAGGGAGTAATGTTACCGGAGCCCAAACCGAAGGACTGAAGATTCAAGGGGAGGAGGGACAACTCTTGAGTTGTAACTATCAATGGGCTGCGGTAGTCACTTACCATTAGACGACCTGCCTTTTTCTTTTTTTTTCCGTGCGGAAATCCCCTCGGATACCACCTATCGGTGGCATGTCGGACTTGAACCGACTAAAACTGCACGCCGTCTCGGGTACTAATAGCCGGGTACCAGGTATACCCTAGAAAGGAAGTCCCTGGTGCCCCGACATAGCTCGGGCCATCTACAACAAGTAGACGACCCCCCCGTGTGGGAACCCCATGTTCCCTCTGCTCCCTGGAAGCGAGCGCGCTTCGCAACGCGCTCGCTGCCACCCCGGCCTGCTTCTGCTAGGGTGACAGATGGCCTCACCTGTCACCCCCAGGCCTGCGCTTATGGAGGACGGAGGTCGTTCTGCGACCTCCGGTGCCTGAGTCACCTGCGGTACCTGGCCCGTTCCCGGGCCTGGTGGACCGGGAGAGTTCTAAACCTCTCCCGGTCCCGCTCCCTCGCGAGCATAACTTGCTGGCAGAAGGAGACGGCAGAGTTCCACGCACTTTCCTGCCTGCTCTTTTGCCCTTTATACCATAAAAAAAGATTGCAATTGCTAGGAGAGGGTGGTTTTGCGTACCCACATGTCTATCCTGTGGTTAGAAAATCCTTTAAAGACAGATCTGGTTGATAACATACACCTGGACACAGAACAGGCAATCCTGTCTGATAAGACAATGTGTTTTGTCGAAATAGCAAACTCAAACTCAAAACATCGTTACTTCATAAAATTTTATTAAAACTTATTTGGAATCGTCTTTGACTCTAAAGTCATAAATCAACACACAAAGCAATCTGTTTTGTCAAATATTTCGCAAGATAAAGTCAATGCATTATATGTAATACCGATTACAATATTTAAGATAAAATGGGAAATGGGAAAATGCCAGGGTCTGTCCTGAAGTCAGTATTTCATACTATCAATTCTTAATACCCATGGAAAAAGCTATTCCGTTAAGTGTTGGCGAATGCTTATAGAAATAAAGGAACTTCTACATTACACAATAGAATAAACAAAATAAACGGCTAAGAAGCAAATGCTACTATTAGCTTTAGAGCTACTAAATCATATTCCAAAGCGGTCACTGGTTTGCCTAACTAAACGACCCAAATCTCAGAAAAAGATTACTGCGGAATCCGTAGGCCTTAGCCGATTATGCCTAATATTTTGATATGAAACTACGTTATGTTTTTATTAAAGAATACGCACGCAATAAAATATTTTGAAAAAAGATGAAAGTAAAAGGATTGTTATAATAGGACGACGTAAGCTTTTTACCGGTAAGCGCTTGTGAACGAACTTATGGTAGATGTAAATTACCTATCACGGCTGTTTAAACATTACATTCATATTTCTCAACAAATTTAAACAATCTCCTCAAAAAGAAAGTGAAAATATATTAGACGAAAAATATGATATTAAAACTTGGATTAATTATGTTGTGTCAGAATGTTAGTTAAAATCAGAAATGTTAAATTGCGTAAGATGCGTTTCCTTTAAGAAATATTAAAGAAATTTGTATCTGAGACAGCACATCAATAAAGTTATCATAATATAAAAAAGAAATTGAAGTGAGATTAGGCTTAACTTTTAACTTAATAACATCCCAAATTTAAAAACCTAATAAAAATCTTTAAACTTGTGTATCTGCATAAGAATTTATAAGTAAAATTATGATACTGCAACAAAATGCGACCAGAGAACCTTTACATAATGTTATTATGTTATTATGTATAATGTTATTATTACAATTTTTGAAATACGTATTTTGGCATACAAGTAGAAGAAAACTCATAAAAGTAGTTAAAATATTCAGAATGGAATGGCTTTGCAAAGTTTAAAAGTTGTAAAAATTTTAGTTAAAAGACTAAATTGAATCCATGAATAGCTGAATATTACAAAGGAAATTTCTGGAATGTCATCAAAATCATATTAATAGTGTATTGCCAGCAAATGAAAGCATTAAGAATTTAATTATCTTGTTTGTTCTTAATCTTGTAACAAGACCTATATTAAAGTTCTACACCCTATATTTTTATTCTTCATTATTTTTTTAATTCTAAGTTACTCAAAGTAAATCGTTTTCCCAACTCAGTCAGTACTATGAATTTTCTCCGATTTTGCATATCAACATACGCCAAAAGCTGGCAACATTATCATGTACAATATATTGCTTGCAATTTCTACCAAGATAAGTCGCTTCGCTTATTACGACTGCGGTTGTAGCTACCGCAGTCGTAACAAGCGAAGCGACTCTTATACGCCACAAATACGGTTACCGGTTATACGTTTGAGCTTTCAAGATCTCGCGTTAAGTAAATGGTAGCTATATGCTTGCAATCTCTGGAGGAAAATTTTGAAGCAAGTAATCAACGCTAAACAACTACTTGGGTTTAGCTACTCAAAACTTTACTCTCATGACTAGACACGTGGTTTAGAATTGCTATTACTTAAAGACACCCAAATATTCTTGTGCCCAATAACCGAAATTCTCTCTGTATTCTAGGAATATGTCAATTATAGAATATTCTGGAAACAAGACAGGAATAAGGAGACCATGCCGATAAATTGAGTTTCAAATTAATATTGCATCCAGCTTAGTTTAATAGTCTAAGAGATTCTATTCAGGATTTTGACTGAGGAGGTACTCCACTAACATGTGGAATAATGGCGAATTTGATTGGTGTACGTGTTTCTGCCTAGTTACTCTAGTACGAATTGTATTAACATAAAATCAATTCTGGGTATTTTCAAGGTAGAAATGTACGACAGCAATCTTCGTTTATATTTGTTTTGATTTCCCTAATAAAGATTTATAGAAGTGTTTTGCCTTGAAAATAAACCTTAGAAGGAACTTCTTGTTATTTCCTTCGTATAGAATTACAGGTACACGAAACATATTAAGCTAAATACTTTAATGTTATCATGTATATTAAATCGCGTATAAAATTTTGACTTTATAAGGTTTAATGTTTAAACATTTATGTAACATAATAGTATAAATAATAGACTTCTCCCTATGGGGAGGGGTTCTGTCAAAAAATAATCTTTACCCCTAATAATTTACCCCTCAAAGAATATAATTCTTTTCCGTGGTTGGCTAACATCAATCATGGTAGTCTTGCCATAAGTCAGAGTCATCTTTCAATGCCAAAATAATAATAACTTTTCCTTAAACGTGACTCAGACAGCATGTTATGTAAGTAATTAGTTAAAGGAAACGTTGAAATAAAAGGTTTTATCTTGAGATTTATGGACAAAAGAATGGGTCTCGGGAGACCCTCATACTAAACTATTAGACGAGGACCGGCAATCAAAACTAACACCATGTAACAGTCTATTAAAATCACAAAATGAAAAGGAACGTATGGCAAAAAATAAAATATGTATACTTAGCACAAATAATAGAAATAAGATATTGTCTGTAGCAGAAAAGACACTGAAGGGTTCAGAATTGTGCCATTACATAGTAACTAATGGAAATATACAATCTATGCTAAATAATTTGAAGGAGAAGCTGTGTAATTACACAATGAAAGACTATTGTTTAATTCTGCTGGGTGAGGATGACTTTAGGATGACTAATATTTATTTTGACATAATATTGCATATAAGAAAGGTACTGCTTGAAATTACTCACACCAATACAATTATATGTACGCCAACTTATAAATTTACAAATTATTCTAATCTATACAATTCAAGAGTTGAAACTTTTAACAATCTACTATACCTAGACATACTGACTCATGAACATGCGTATTTTTTTGACTCAAACCAAAACCTAAGCTATGACGACACAATGTTTGATTATCGTACAGGCGTAATTAATAATTTTGGAATACTGACAATGTTTAGAGACATTTTTGATATGATTAATAATATTAATACCTATCTTCAATATCCTTACATACCTTTGACTGACAAACAATCTCCTGACGGAAAATCTAATGACACTAGTGATGTAAATATGCTTTACAATCAGAAAACAGCTTCGAATAACTGTCTTTTTCGAAACTAGACACATATACGTAATGCATCAAAATATAGCTGGTTTAATAAACAAGTCCGACAACTTGACAGTATGTATAAATGAATTAACAGACAAAGGAATTGATGTTGATATAATATGCATCACTGAACACTTTATGTCAGAAGGCTGCGAATCCCTGTTAAATATACCTAACTATGTCTTAGCTTCACATTACAGCAGAAAAAATACTAAAAGAGGTGGATCATGCATTCTTGTCAGAAAAGGATATGAATGGAAGGAACTAGAGAGGATATCAAGAATGTCAATACCGGAAACTTTTGAGTGCAGTGCCGTAGAAATTGTTAAATCTAATGTTGCTATTATTTGTATGTATAGAGTACCAAATATGAGAAATTTGAACGATTTTTTCAGTAGGTTACATAGTGTTTTACAAGTAGCCACAAAAAGACGATATAAAAATATTGTTTTGGCTGGCGATTTCAATATTAATGTTTTAAAATCGAATTACCAGTCACTTGAATTTGAACGTATTTTGCTCAACTTTAACCTTAAACTTGCGATATACCAACCGACTCGTATTAGGAGCCATACATGTATTGACAACTTTGCGCATAATTTTAATAAGCCTTGCAAAACGGAGATTATAGAGTTTGCTCTTTCTGACCATACAGCGCAGCTAATAAAATGCCCGACTGATAAAGTATGCAAAATTGAAAAATATTATAGGTTTAGACGCAATTATTGTCAACAAAACTTATTAAAATTTAAAAGCTGTCTAAATGCTATAAAATTTTCTGAAATTTATAATACCCTCAATCCAAATATGGCTTACAACAGTTTCATAGAGGACTTTCAACTGTTTTATAATTTATGTTTCCCAAAAGTTAGAGTTAAGGTAAATATAATTAAAAAGACAAAATGGGTATCAAGTGGTATAAAAAAATGTAACAAAAAGAAAAGGCAGTTACTATGGCTACAAAGATTAAAGCCAAACCCAGAAAATAAATCCCGCTTCAAATCATATTCAAAATTATTAAAAAGAATTATGTTTCTAACTCAACGAGCACAAAATGATTACAAAATTAATAATTCTAGGAATAAAAATAAAACGACATGGCAAATTATTAATCAGGCGAAATTAAATTTACCAAAATCTTTGATAAATAGATTAAAAATAAATGACACTATTATTACGAATCCAATACAAATATCGAATGAATTTAATAACTATTTTATCGATAAAATACAGCCTAAAACAACGTCTCTAAAAACCACCCCACCCATTATAAGTACAAGCAAATCTATGTTCATGTCCCCATGTGTACCGCAAGACATATTAAGTATAATTCATAAGCTTAAAAACACGAACAGCGTTGGATATGATGGAATAACTACTAAGGTCATTAAAGTTGTAGCACATGAAATAAGCGGTCATCTGTGTCACATTATGAACCTATGTATAACCTCGGGTATTTTTCCTGATGCCCTTAAACAGTCAATTGTAAAACCAGTGTTTAAGAAACAGGATAGGGAGCTTATGGAGTATTATAGGCCTATTTCTTTAATTCCCATATTCTCCAAAATATTTGAGAAATTCATACATACGCAACTGTACCTATATCTGGAAAAAAATAATCTATTGTGCAATGAACAAAATGGATTTCGTAAAAACAAAACCTTGAATTTGGCAATTTTCAACTTTCTTCATGAAGTTATGATGAAAGTAGACAAACGAATACCTGTATGCTCAATATTTTGTGATATGACACAGGCATTTGATTATGTAAAACATGATATATTAATTAGAAAACTAGATGCGTATGGAGTGAGAGGTAATGTCCTAAAGTTATTCGAATCGTATTTGGAGAACAGAAAACAACGTACAGAAATAGCAATAATAAACCCCACTACTAAACGAGAGGAGCTATATCTTTCAGATGAGCGGAAAGTTTTGTACGGTGTCCCTCAGGGGAGCGTAATGGGACCTTTGCTTTTTATATTATATATTAATGACCTTCCAAAATGTACAAAAAATACTGTAACGCTTTTCGCAGATGATAGCACAATTACTATATCTTGTAATAATGATATAACTCAATATAAATATGACATTACGAATTCCTTGACATCCATAATAAACTGGCTTGACATTAACAATTTAAAAATCAATTTAAATAAAACTAAGATTATACATTTCAGTCAACGGATCGCTCCAATCAGTTATATACACCAAAATATAAACATTGACAATCATAGCATAGAAAATGTTACGACTTCGAAGTTCCTCGGGTTAACGATAGATAAAAAACTAGATTGGAAATCACATATAGAGACGCTTTGCAAAAAATTATGTAGTTCTGCATACGCTTTGCATACGTTAACGTCAATCGTCAATACAGAAACAGTGATGACCGCATACTACGGTTTAGTTGCCTCAAATTTACGCTACGGCATCATTTTCTGGGGTAACTCTACAGACACATTAATTGCTTTTAAGTGTCAAAAGAGATGCATACGGTCAATGTTTAAACTAAAAACAAGTGATAGCTGTAAAACTTACTTTCAGAGGTATAAAGTATTGACGTTGCCAAGCATTTATATTTTGGAAATGTCAATGTTTGTTAAAACAAATCCAGGCTTATTTCCGCGGCTTGAGGATACGGTTACACGGAACAGGCGTGATAATAGTAGACTGCGCCTACTCCAAGCAAAAACTGTGCTTATGCGTAGAAGTGTTTTCTGTATGGCTCCAGTAATTTATAACCATTTACCGCAACAATGGAAAAACTTGAGCATAAGTGCATTCAAGAGCAAGTTAAAAGAATTTTTAGAAATGAAAGCATACTATTCTGTAACTGAGTTTTTAACGGAGAAAATATAATAGAATGCATGTTTTTAATAACTACACCATACCCTCTATTAATACAATTTTTTAATAAATGTGATACATTGTTTATTATGATTATGACATTTTTCATTTTTTTAATAATATAATTGTAATTGTTATTTTAATTGATATTGACATAAAATAGAATTCTGACCTCGTATGATGTATTAAATAAGCCCAACGCGTTATTAATGTTATCTTATTGCATGCCTAAAGGTAGAATGTGGCAGAAAAAAATATTATAACTGTAACACCTAATTGTAAACCCATGTTCGCAATGAAAATAAACTGATTGATTGATTGATTGATTGATTGAGAGTTATGTCATCAAGAAGTAGAACAAAACTTTATGTGGCATGTTTCGTTTTTATGGGAACTGAATATGATGGATAAGATAACGGGAAATAAAACTTGTACACAAAACTATATCACGTTTTTTACACCCCAAACTTGGGTTAAATAATAATCCAATTTTGTCGCGATCGCTTTGACAATATGTTTGTCTATGTCAGTAGAAAGATAGTCATGATGAAAAAGTAATTGAAGGTCACGACATGTTTAAAACATTTTCGAGAATACCTGAATAGACCTAGAATAAGTGATAAGAGACTTTTAAACAATGCAGCAGTTAAGGCAAATTTAATATATACAGCATAATTTTATAAAAACTTGTGGCGACTTCCACATACGGTGAAACGAAGAAACATGCTACAGCGCCATCTAACGAAGACACAACGAACTACGGAGTAACAACTAATCTTGTATCGCGAAATGAATAATTCTCATGCGAATCAGCATTTATACAACTTCTCACCTCATGATCACCTCGCCTAGTCGGGGAATCCTCCCTTTGTGTTGGAGGGACATGACATTTTAGATATTTATAGCATATTTTGTAATACAGTATTTACTAGTTAATATTCTTTATCAGGAGAGATTTGGGGTTCGATAACCTCACTCACTCGGGAAAAGCAACGAAGCAATTGCTGCAGTCGAGCCAGCCCCTTTGTACCAATGAATGACTCTCCCTTGGCATCATAAATATCAAGAGACTACAACAACTTACATACATATGTATTTTAGTTATACTTACCCTGACATGCCCATATTTGATAGTAAAATATATGATGAAAGGTAAACATGAGATGACGAGGCAGGCCAGTGCGAAGATAGTGGTTCTTACAACCCAGTTCAATGCTGCCACACATGGAGAACCGTCCTCGCAAGCTTCACAGCCTTCCGCACATGGAAGACATTCGAAGGCAACAGGAATAGAGTATAGACTGTGTTGTAGCTGTTGGCAAATAAAAGTTTATTAATTCAGGTTAAGAACTAACGCAATAAGTTAGTAATGAGGGCTCTTATATCTAGGTACTTTTAAAATGGTTTGAATGTATGGTGTAACCATCCGTGTGGTGACGGATTGAGAATACGGAATGTCACCACCCCCATTCATCCCGTGGGTGTCGTAAGAGCCGACTAAGGGAACAAACTGCACAAGACAACATCACTGCAAAAAGAAGGAATACTTAAAACAAACCCTATACCAACCCGTCTGGCCAGCGTGGTATAGTAGGCCAAAACCTCCTTTCTAAGGAGAGACCTATGTCCAACAGTGGACTATTATAGGCTGTTGATGTGTGATGTGATGTGATGTGATGTATGGTGTAACGACATGAACACGAAGCTATAAAAGTAGGTAAACAATTGAGAAAATGTTTTTATTAATTCACATTTCAAAATAAACTTAAATTTGACAGATTACCTAAAGTGTTTTGTTAGATGTGTAAATAGATCCATACCTACTTGTGATAATAATTACAAGTGTGAATTACCAACATAAGTGCAATGCGATCAGCACGTTGCCGCTTCGGGTAAACCACCAAGAACTTACTTGAATAACTAAAATATTTGAAGGACTTTTAAATACACTTTCGATGGGACCATGTAGATAGGAAATACAATATGCTTCCAATTAAAATCAAGATCAGGTCAAATTTTAAAATTAAATGAAATCTCATACAAAATGGAATATTTTTAACCATCATAATTTAGATATTTTTATTTACTAATAAAACGTCTCTCAAAGAAACTTTTTCTCATAGCATACTCGTATTTCTCCCTTATAGATAACTTAAAGGCTCCGCTTTTACGTCCAATATCCTTTGATTACAATTTCTATGTAAACTTTTAATAACTGAATAAAAAATTCCGAACCAATAACTTAGAACGAATTCCTTTAACAGTCAATATTCAGATAAATAATATCATATCTAAAGGAATAATAAGATATTTTAAACATATAAAATAATGATATATACATAAATTAAGATTATGACAACTAAGAAAAAAGAAAATCCAAAATACTAAACCAACAAATTCAACGGCAAATACAATAGTATAGCAATGCAGTCTAACTTTATTTATCGTTGCCTATTTTGCTTTAAATAGGTCCGAAAACCACAGGGATTACCACACAACACTATACAATGCCTTAGGCCCTTAGAATTCACGAAAACGAGGTAGAGACAAAGGCCTTCAGAGAATTAGTTGCATAGTCCCAAATAGTACATCAGATGAAACTAGTTTTAATTAAACCAGCTGACCACTAAATTTAAAACAAAGTTGTTCAAACACAATTTGTCTCAAACTGTGCTAAGAAGCGGTAAGTTTCTTCACCAACCAAGTTGATTTAACTTCATGCTTTATTAATGAAGTTGTGGCTTGATTCGCAATTACCGTCGTCTGCATCTTGAATTTCTGGAGATAAGTGTTCTTATCATTTTGGGAACATATTTTCTAGGTTAATATTTAGTTGATACATTTATATATTAATACGCAAATAAAATGCTTTCTAATCCATGTTAAACTAATATAGAGGGTGGAAGCATATTATATTGGGAATACTTAATGTTTATATTTAAAAGAAATGTAGAAAGATAAAATTTTCGTGTGTGCGTTTCGGTCGGCTTGTATTTCGGCTCGCGGGCTGAAACACCTAAAGGCATCTTTTTCATTGATCTAATCCTTTCATATATAGTGGACCAAATCTACAATCAGTTCTTCTTTAATGTGGCGATTTTAAATGAGAATCTTTTTGTTGAGTACAGTTGTATTCAAAAAAATATTTTCGTTAATTTAAGAAACTTTGCAGATTTTCAAAAACAAAGAGATTGATTTATGTGTACCATTATCAAAATTTAATAATGTAAAGAAAACTACATAAGGAGCGCATCGAATCCAATCAAATGTTTTACTACAGTATATACTTTGCACGCGAATGTAGGCAATGAAAAATACAGTATGTTACTTTCAGACAACAAGCATCGTACAATATTGTTTAGTAATCATCTTGCTGATTATAATTAGTAAGTACTCGTAACTAGTTGTAGTAAAAGTAAATTAAAATCAAAACCTGTGAATATTATGTGATTTACTCATAGGTGTTTAAGTTTATGTGGACATAATTATAAAATAGATTTTTTTTTTATTATGATAGGATACAATTAGGCGTTTCAGCCCGCAAGACGAAAAGATCAATCCTCGCTATTCGACCTTTCGGTTCGTGGACCGAAACGCCCCAACACCCAAATTTTCCAACATTTTGCATTAAAATGTTAAAAATTGTGTGAAAATAATCTGTAATAAATATAATTTTTATAAATACATTTTCGTTAAATACTTTATCGAATAGTTATACTGTAAAAACTTTTTAAATCTTCCATAATTGAACGGTCATTAAAGTAAAAAAAAATTGAGCGAATAGGCCCTTGAAAGAATATTGTGTTTCTCATCGTGTTTACCATATATATCAGATTTTACAGCCAGTTCGATTCATAAATAAAATTTAATTACAATCAAATAAGGACTATTTAGAGCACTGCACAAACCTAGTCTAATAAATTTTTAATTAGGTACTTTAGTACCTGGATGATTTGTATTTTTTTTGGTAAATTTTCTAAAAATGAAACCTAGTTAGATCGATTAAGCGCCCCTGAAACCCACCACATACTAAATTCATAAAAATCGTTGGAGTCGTTGCAGAGATTCTGCTTATATATACAAGAATTGCTCGTTTAAAGTGTATCAGTATAAATCGGTGTAGCTTACCCCTTCAACTTCCTCAAGTTAATCTTTGCGTAAATAAAGTATTATTATTATTAACTTTTGAATTCGGTATCTCTCGGTAAAATTTTTATACCATTACCTTTAATTTTTTTTAAATTATTTATAGTGTTGTGTGCCGTTCAGCTTTAAAAAACAAAGATTAGAAAAATATATTTATATCCATTGATTACAGTTGTAACCTCGGTGCACCTACCTTACAAGATTTCTACACCACCCAAAGGTTGACTGACAGAGAATGGACAGGGCATTGAGTTTGCGTGTATTTGGTTGGCTGGTAGAGAATGCCCAGGACATTAAGTTCGCCGATGTACATAAGATGGTAAATAAATAATATACAATAGTCCACTGCTGGAAATAGTACTTTCCTTACAAAGGAGGTTGTGACCTACTATACTATTGTATTACTCTACTATCAGTAGTATTTGAGAAAACTTTAGCACATTGATCTTGATGTTAGAAGATAAATTAAATTACAATATGTATGTTTATTCATGTATGTGTGTTTATATATTGTGTATGTTTTTGTATACTTCTGAAATTATGTTATGTCAAATTTAATATTTTATTTTGCACCTACTGCATCATATTTCTAGATCACCTGAAGGTTGACTGGGAGAGAATGCCCCATGGCATTAAGTCTGCCTTTGTACAACATTTGAATTAGGTTTTAAATAAACAAACCGCTAGCAAAAATAAATGACTGAAATATGAAAGTAATACATACCAATAAATGTTTCTCGTACTCCTCTTCGATATCGCTTCCGTTGTAATATCTGTTGTCAGCAGTGGTGTTGGGGAAATAAAAACCTCGTTTGCAAACGCACCGGTACGAGCCTCGTCTGAAACCCAGACCTGGTACGGGAACGCACTGTAACAACGAGATTTATGATAATGAAATAGCCGCTCCCTGTAATTTTGCTGAATATATTCTGGACTAGACTGTAATCTATATTTTTTTAGTATAATGCAAACGTCCCCTTTATTAATTTTTTCCGTGCGGGAATCCCCTCGGATACCACTTGTCGGTGGCATGTCGGACTCGAACCGACTAAAACCGCACGCTGTCTCGGGTACTAATAGCCGGGTAGCCAGGTATACCCTAGAAAGGAAGTCCCTGGTGCACTGCAAACGTCCCCTGCAGACTCTTAAGTCTATCGTTGCCTATGGACATCTCTAAGTCTAGGATCACAACTGCTTTGTTGTGTAGTATGATAACGTCATGATTAGATAGATATATAAGGAACTGATTACTAACTGATTACTAACTGATTACTAAGTTTTAGTTAGAAACACGAAATAATCTATATGAATAAATAAATTTGAAATGTCAAAATAATAGCTATTAGTTTTTCATGCGTACACAGTTATTTGCACGTATAGTAAGTAACCGTGTAAGTAACCTATGCTTAAAAACCAGTTTATATATTTTTGTCTGTCTGTTTGTTCCGGGTAAGTTTTAAAACGGATGGACCGATATTTTCTTATTATTATTTTACCGGTAGCTATGTAAGGAGTAACTTAGGCTATTTTTGCTCTCAGAAAAACCGTACAAAATTTTGCCCGATCCGAGAATCGATCCCGGGTTCCTTAGCCTCACTCTCCTGGTGAAAAGCAACTGGTTTTTCTGTATGGCCGTGGCCGTTCCAGTCGAGCTTACCGGATAGATTTATGTGCCAAATACTATGTCTGTGCCGAAACTAAACTTTAAATATATTCTAGAATGTTATTTCATTATTATAATTTTATCAGTATTCCGTGAGGTGACGGAATAATAATACGGAGTGTCACCACCCCTATTCATCCCGTGGGTGTCGTAAGAGCCAACTAAGGAAGCAAACTACGTAGGACAAGGGCATTGCAAAGGGAAGAAAAACTTGAAACAAACCCAATACCAACCTGTCCGGGCAGCGTAGTATTAAGATCAAAACCTCCTTTCTAAGGAGAGGCTTGTGTCCAGAAGTGGACTATTAGAGACTGTTGATGATGATGAATTTTTTTATCAGTCATTTGGGACTCGCAGTACGCGGTCGTAATTTGAAATGGTTGTTCGTTGTCTACTTGTCAGTCAGTGTTAAAATTAATCAAGGCGAGCCTAGTTCTAACAAAGCAAAAAATAAATTAACTAGCTGTTGTTTAAAAGATACTAGAATTTTATTTTCTAAGAAATTCTAACAATGTATCTATAGCATGTGAAAAAAAAAGAATATTTGCAACTTAGAAAAAGATTTAAGCTATAGAATTACTATGTTAAACAGAGAAAATTTTAAGAATATGTAGAGAAAATCCGTTATATTTACCCTGATATTATTAAAATTTATGTGTACAAAATGTATCTGTACTTGTCGTTCTAAAATTACATCGAGATCAAGCTATCTTGGATTATAATGATTGGTTTAGAATATGTTATTTTAAAATACTAGACTTTTAATACTAGTTTAAGTTTTTTTTATTTCGCTATCAAAGTCAAAACAATCCTTAAGTAACATCTATACTTAAGTGAACCATGTAACTGAAACCATCCGAATGGGAAGAGAGCAGTTGTTTATAATAGAAACTATATACATACTCGTATATGAAAGAACTGGTTAGATTAACAAAACTTTAATGAACTGCTTCTGCGGTTTTTAGATAAAATTACTAACTTTTGCCCGCAGCTCCACGCCCGTGTATGTTGGTTGTCAAGGTAAAAAGTAGCTTATTTTACTCGCTGATAAAGTTGCTTTTTATTGGTGAAAGAATTTTTAAAATCGGTCCTTTGGATTAGGCGTGAAAGAGTAACAAAGAAATAAATTCATTTTCATATTTTTAGAATACAAATATAAATGTAGGTATAAGATTCCGATGTTCTATAAGAAATGAAATTATTAAAGGTATTATTACCAATTTTTACTAATGACTTTTTTAATGGTTAGTAGTTTATATAATGGAATCTCTCATTCTAAATGAAAGTGTTTAAGTCTCTGTAGAGTCTATTGTAAATGTTCGTGTTATGTAATATACAATTTATAACTAGTTATTATTATAAATCGGTGTTAAGTATTTATGAACGTGTTTATCAACGTATTTATGAATTGCCTATGACAACGAATCTTTCCAGGTCAAATGTTTGTAGCCACGGCAAGAGCAATCTTATAATTTCAGGTAATCTAAATGTATATATGTACCTACTACCTTTTTTTATATGATATAGTGAAGTAAACGAGCAGGCGGGTCATGGTAAGAGACTACCGCCGCCCATGGATACTCGCAACCCGAGAGCATCAAATTTGTTGCCGCTCTTTGAATCCCTCCATAAGAATTAAGGAGGAGTGAGCTCCGGCAACTTCGCTCACTCAGTAAAAGCAAAGAAAATATTGCTTAAAGCCGGTTTTCTGTAAGGGCGTGGAATCATCACCATCATCAACAGCCTTTAACAGTCCACTGCTTGACATACGCCTCTCCTTAGAAAGAAGGTTTTGGCCCAATATACCAAGCTGGCCAGACGGGTTGGTAAAGGGTTTGTGTCAAATTTTCCTTTTCTTAGCAGTGCTGTTATCCTACGTAGTTAGCTTCCTTAGTCGGCTCTTACGACACTCAGGGGATGAATTGGGGTGGTGATACTCCGTATTCTTAATCCGTCACCA